CCTCGCCGCCAGCCTGCTGGCCCCGCGACGCTACTGCTGTAGGGGTGGCTCAGCGGGTTCTGTGGAGATCGGCATTTCGCTTACAGACCATTACGCAAGTCTGACTTCCAAAAAAAGCCACAAAGCTGTTCAGACTGATTTTGGCAATAAGGAATTACTTAAAAGAAATTGAAGGTGTTTTCTACGTTCATCTTCCAACTTTGAAGGAAAATTATTTTTTCAGCCTCTCAAAAAAACCCCCAAACTTATGTAAACAGCAATAAAGTATTTAACCCTGCCCAATTACAATGTACATGAAGTTTTAAAAGGCAAGACCATGGTATGGGGATAGTGAGGGAACTTTCCCAATTAGGGTCGTGCTGTTGGTGGTGTTACTAGTACCGTGCTTTAAGATACTGTATAAAGGTTTAAAACATTGAAAAGTGTGTTGGAAGATTAAATTGATCAGCTATTGCTTATTAAACAATTCTTACATTTAAAAGGTCAACTTTTTTTTTTTTACAAGAAACAAATTTCAAGACTCCTCTAATCCATGAATGGTAGCCAGGCCCTTACAGTTATGAGCCAATGACCTGTTTGTTTACAGTTTGACTAAAAACTTGTAAAGTACAAAACCAATTTTAAGGCCAGTGTTCCTTATGTTTGTATCGTGATTTAATTACTGTCAGGACATGGCTTGTATGCATTTAAATTTCAGGTGGGCTTCTTGGTTGGCTTTTTATGGAAGATTTTCTTAATTTCCTGTTTCAGTTGTAGCTGACGGTCTGCAGAAAGAATACAACCAAAATACCCAATTGTATCATTCTCGGATATCTTCAGCACTGAACTAAATCAACAGCTCTGATGAAACCGAAAACTAGAAAATACCTTTAAAATTGCCAGACATCTCGTTAGGAAAAAACTGCAACCGTGGTAGTGCTGTGTTGGCTTTAATCTGGCATCCTTGTCCTGGCTCAGAATTGTAAGGGTGGACTTCATGAAAAACATGGCAAGGACTCCAGGTTGGGTCGGCTCCTCCGGGTTCCCGACGCAGTGGCTTGGCTCTGCTGGGGTGTGCAGTCAGCAAGGGTGGCATGTGTAGGGCGAATCGCGCGTCGAGTTGTTACTGATGGGAAGGTGCCCCTTGCCCTTCGGTCTCTCTAGTTGTGCACTGGTCTTTAGGAATATCGGCAATATTTGTTCCTGAGTTTAGATCCTATTAAATATTACTGTAAAATGTCACTGTTTCAAGATTTGCTCCTTTTAGAGGCATAACTGAACTATTGCTGTGACATTCGTGCTTGCAGTACTGCAGTGATAGAACATAGCACTTAAAGAGGAAACCAGTTGGACCCGTTACCTAGAGTTTGTACCTTTTCTGAAAACAAACAGCACCCCCCAAGCCCTCCTGAATGGTAGTAAATTAAAATGGTTTTAAGCTTGAGAAGCATTTGTGCTTAAGTTGTACCATTTGAATCCAGTAATTTTGAAAATGGTGAGGTTCTGTTGTAAATACATAGTAAGAGGGGTGTGCAGTGCTTTGTTTAAAGTGTTTACAATACTTGATGAGTTGAAGTTACTTTAGTTTTTGTTCTACAGGTCTTGTATTTTGTCTGAAAGCTGCTAAGAGAATCGCGTTTTTGGTCACGTTAACATTTATTCTCTCAGCACAGGCTAAAAGATGGGATGCTGTGAAGTTTGCAGTTTCATTGCAGCAACTTTACATTGTCAGAGACTTCTAGAAGTACTGGTATAAATATTGGTGTTTTTTTTTTTTTTTAATAGTTTAGAATTGAAGGAAATCGTGAACATCTACATCTGATTGTTGTCCGTCCGTCCCTCCCCCAACCATTCACAGTAGTCTCCATAGACTGAATAGTCAAGGTCAATAGTTTAAAAAAAACCCAACCCAACCAACTCTGAAACAACAAAGCAAGCAGCAAAGCACGGCGCTGCCACCTGGTAGAGGTCAAAAGACCAGAGTTGTTGGGAAGATGCTTACGCTCACAGCGAAGTTGCAAAACTGCTCTTTAGTTATGGCTGCTTTTAAATAAGACTAAATCGGAAAGCTCGAAGCTGCTGTAACAGTTGTGCTGGCACACGCAATTGAGAGAGAGATTACAAATTGTATATGGCATGGAGCAAGCGTAGTGTGAAGTGGGTTTTAAAACCAGATCAACCCTCAGGCTCCCTGTGTTCGTACTCGAGTCACAATTCAAGCACGGAAAGTTACTGAGTCTTTAGTTTTAAATTACGTAGTAGCATTGTAGAGCAGCGGCGCCAGGCTGCGGTGTAATTAAGACCGATGAGTTCTATGCAATCAGGAAGGGTATTTTCTGTGTTTTAGGACCTGGTTTAAAAAACAAAACGGAAACCCAACAACAGCAAAACAGAAAACCATTTCTAATGTCAGCGTTTCCTTCTTGAGGAGAACTTCCCCCCTGCCCTGCCCTGCCCTGATATGTGGAGTTCATGTTTGATTTAAAAAAAAAATAAAAAAAAAAACCTTCCAAGATTGGCTTTAAGATGCTGCATTTTGATCTCCAGGTGTGGTTACTGCTTGCCACAGCTCTGGACACCATCCCATTCAGAGTTCACCTATTTGTCGGACCCCGTAAAACTTTGTTGAAAATAAACTCCCACAGAGGTTACTTATCACAAATTGTAGTAATTCACTGTGATTTCATCAAGAAACTTGTACTGAGATTGTTTAGTGCGGTTTGCTACATCTGTTTTGTCAGTAGGTCAGTTGTGTGGATTCTTTATCTTTACCAAGCACAAAGGAATCTGGTTCCGCTTCTCCAGAGCGACATTTCCAGAGCCCTGTATGATCTTTCTGCTGAAAAAGGCCTCTCTAAACACATCAGAGCTGTAGATTGATTTGAAACTGTTTAAAAGTTTCTCAAGTGTCATTTAATGTTTTTTTTCAAAGTGTAGAAAAATATTTAAATGTAGTCTTGCAGGATATAAAGGTGATATACTTAATACATTCTAGAATGTAAATCTTCTTTGTAAAAATTACTTCAATTTTTTTTTTTCCTGTATAGAAACAAATCTCAGTTGTGAAATCCAAAGATAAATAAAGCTGTATAAAGGGAAGGTTCTTAAATTGCATTTATTAAAACTTAAGCACGTTTGAACACTTCCAACACGAGGCTTCAAGGAGGGCCGATGCTTTGTTTGGGCTTTGTGGGGGTTTGCAGCCCCAAAGCCATACCGAGGTCAGATGCACAAGATGCTGGGTTTCTGGCTGTGGAGGTGAGGGACTGGAGGAAGGGGTGGGAGCTGCAGATGAATGTTCACCTGCTGCAGGCAGTTGACTGTAAGCTTGGGGGCCTGCTGTGTTCTACAGTTGATGATGTGCTGGGAAGTGCGCTGTAAGGTGCTCTGACTGCAGTTTAAGCCTCCGGCCAGAGAGGTAAGAACCAGCACGAGCAATGACGTGAACACTTACCCAGGTAAGATGTTACTTAAAGTTCTTGGTAAAAGTGTTTTTCATTATGTAAAGCGGGACTTTGGTTACAGACCCACCTCTAACACTTGGGTCTCATTCTTGTAAGCAGTCAGGCTGAAAAAAAGAGCTATCGGTGTTAGAAAACTGAGCTTCAAAATGTGTATTAGGCTGTTCTGGACATGGTTTGCAGCGAGGCAAGCTCCTGGGACTGGAGCCTGGCTGTGATGAGGCTTTTGTAAATGAAGGTCTGGGTCAGGGTTGACTGACTCCCATTGATCAGCCACAGCTGTCTGGTTGGTTTTTTTAAATCAAATTAGTACAATAGGATGAGCAATATATTGGCTAAAGTTCCTGGCCCAGATAAACAGGCCAGGAACAGAAGAAAATAATTTGAGTGTTACCTGTGCTGCATTATTTAATGAAACTTTTATTTATTAAGATTGTTAGGAAGAAGGCATGGAACATAAGGATTTGCAGACTGAGGTAGCTATGCCTCCAAGCTATAGTGCGCTCACTTCTTCCTCAGCTGAAGATCACAAAGACTTCTAAGCTTCATGGTTGGATTTTATTAAAAAACACCAGAGAGCATGGTTATTTTCAAGTACAGAGAACTAAGACATTAGAGAAGAGATCTAGAGACAACGCTGTGCTAATTGCACAAGGTCCCCTCTGATGACTGAAGGCACTGAAAGCAACTCATCCTTCCCTCTGCTTGCTCAGAGTTCCCTTCTGTCAGCTTCCAGGCATGACTGCGCCTGTGCTCAAGAACGTCCCCGAGGCAGCCATACAGTCCCCGTCACCCTGCGTTGCCTTTTCTTGCATCCTCCTCAGCTGTCCTGCGCAAAGGCATCTGCCCGAGCTCCAGCAGACACAGGGGACAGCCAGCCAGAACTTCTCCTTTCTGCCACCCGGCTGCGTGCGTCCACAAGAAACGATGGCTGCTGTCTCCTTACAGAGTATTACTGGGGGATGGGGGGAAGGAAGGGCGGCCATTTCACTAACTGGAGTACCTGCGTGCCTGGCCTTGCCTCTTGCCCAGTGACAGGCAGTCCTCTGAGCTTGTATTGATGGGGGACATGTTATTGTTTAGGCTATGGAGAACAAAAGGTTTGCGTTTGCCAGAAGACAGAACTGAGCGACATAACTACACAGGGAAATGTCAGCCTGGGGTAGGCCTCTCATTTGGGCAACCTGGGGAAGTGGGTAGAAGGGGGAAGTCTGAAAGCTTAACAAATACATGATACAAATGAGCAGCATACACTGGTAAGAGCAGGCACTCGCATAACATAGGCCAAGTAAGGACTAAGGCCTTTGGAAAACGTGCATGAGTGACTTCATCCAGCTTAGTTTCACATTGAATGCAGCAAGCAAAAAAAAATAAATAGAAAAAGCCGTAGTCTGAGGACAACAATCACAACAATGTGCTAAATAGTGCAAAGATGGAGAGAAAAACATGTAAGGCTTTAACAACAAAAACCTGAGAAGAGCAGTAACACCATGGATGGATGAAACCAGCTAAAGGTGCCCTTGGGAAGCACAATTTAGCCAACAGCCCTGCAGTAAGGCCAGAAGACACTGGCGGCAGTGATCCAGACCCCTGTCCCGATCCAACAAAACGCAGAGCAGCAGGAAGAACACAAGCAGAGCCCTTGCGCTGAAAGTACCTGCTTACGTGGCTTCAGAGGTGGGCAAACAGAACAAGGGGCTGGGAGCATGTGGCCTGTTACTTTTTTAAAATGGATGAGGCTAAAGAGGCTTTTGCTATGAGAGGAGGGAACTGGACAGCAAGAAAAGGATGGAAAAGAACCATTTCAAAAAAAATGTGCCAAAGTTTTACAAAGCCAGATATGCCCATAGAGTATAAAAGCACTACAATTTTAATCCTTACAGTAAGATGTTAAAATCAAGTATTTTTTTCATAGTTTTTTTTAATCCTAATATTAATAACAAGTGGTTTTAAGATAGGATTGCTGCTTTGTGACAAAGCTGCTTTCTGTTATTTCCAAGGTCCTACAGCTAGGTGAATGGCAGCACAAGGGCTAGGAACGCCATCAGCAGTATTAACTGGTTGAATTTGAGTCCCTTTAGGATCTGGAAACAGAGAAGGTATACACTTGCAGTAAGTGTGGATCTGGAAAGAGAGAAGGTATACACTTGCAGTAAGTGCTGTTTCTAGATTAGCAGGCTATTAAAACGAAATTAAAAGTCAGGTCTCCCCTAAAATGGGGATTGCCACATCCCACTTCATTGTGCAGCCTCTACCTGCCCACAGCTTTACTCTCTTTCAGAAAACTTCTCTCACAGGGAAAAGCTGATGAGCATGCATCCAAGTATAAAAGGATCATCCTTCATAATGTAGGCAAGGCTTACTGTATCATCACCATTTATGTATTTCAGCATCTGTTTCTCTCATCTAGGAAGAATTTCATTTTACCAGTAATCCATCCTGAAGTGAAGTAGTTTGGATACATTTTCGGAGCAGGATGCTTTACTATCCAAAGGATTCATTTTACTCCTTTTACACCTTCCAGTTTTACTGTATAGTAGCAAGAGGATGGAGGGAGATGAGGAGCAAAAACTACTGTTAAAGTCCTCACGCTTCCAGTGTGGTGTGAGGCAGCTCCAGCTGGTTGTTCAGGTTGTGTTACTCGGCTGACCATCAGTCTCATTAGCAGCTGATTTGCCCAGGTTATTCCAAGTGCTGGAGAGACTCTGTTACCCACGACACTATAAAGCAAGCATTAAAAGTTTCTGCATGTATGAATTTAATATGAAATACCTTCTGTTGTAACAAAATTACACTGGGAGAAACGATCTACTCTTCCTGCATTTACTGCTGTTTGCTATATTTATAGGTCTTCGAAGACAGAGGTTACAGGGTATACTCACAAAACTACACGCTAGGTTCTCTCTATGTGATATAAAACTAGCAATAGCAAAATGGTTGAACTTTACACCTAGGAAGTGTGTAACTGTCGGCCCTGGATTCCATTTGAAGATATATTTAGAAGTGTTGGGTAGCTATAACACCACGTATGTATTGCTTTCAACCTGAAGTTTAGAACAATTTTTTTTTTCCTGGAAAACCCACAATCTCTCCAGTAAAAGAATTTCAAGATAACCAAGGAAAACTACCTGAACCTTATACTTGTTCTGTGTCAGCTTCTGAATCTGAGGACATAACTAATTCCTTGCAAAACCACATTTATGTAGCGCACCTATCTTATCTAGTAAATCAAGATTATAGCTAGGATTCAAACAACAAATATGTATGTTTGAATGCTGTTAATAACTTGGTGTCAAATGATACTTTTTTTTTTTCCTTAAGCAACTAGCAAAACCAACCCACAAGGTTTGGTCAATATATTTTTTTTAAGCAGACAGAAAATGCACTTGGTTTTATCAGAGACAAGAAAAGTTGCAAAAATACTCTTGTGTAAGCAAGTACACCGGCTATTAACTCCAGGGAATTTTTCCCCCCAACTTGCTGATGAGGAATTACCACATAAGTCTATATGACAGTTTCTTCCATGTTACAGCACATGAGCTATTGCTGATCTCCAGCAAATACAGCACGGCTGGGTAAATGCACTACTGCTCTTAGTACGCTCTGGAAATTTATCCTGAAGTTATAAAACCCACAGTGGTTAAATGCTGCTGTGTATGACATGGTTACGTTTCTGTTGTGGGTGACTTACCTACAACTGCACTGAGCAGCTTCTGACTCGCTCACTGCATCCGTCACCTAAAGTAGAAGAACAACCTTTGAAGCTGACCTGTAGTTACGCATTTGTTTTAGCCACCATAAGGGCAGGGAAGGGCCTGAAGCCAAGAAAATCCAAGTTATTTGATCACATATTAAGCCAAGTTAGAAAACCCTTATTCTTTCAAGGCAAACTAGAAGGGAGTTGTGAAGTGTTATCTTAGTTTTCAGTGCTACTTTCAGTGTAGCTAGCTACAACTTACATGAATTTAACTAGTACTAGGTACTTAATTTGTTAAAAAAACCCCAAACAAACATCAAAACAAAAAACTACCACACACAGAGAAGTGTTCCAATGCTGTATCTGTCAATAAAAGGTACTGAAGCCCAATCTCCAACAGGAGTCCTGTTCTCAGTGATTTCACTACCTTTGAAGGCCTGCTTAATGGAGCAGTTTGCCTTAGACTACAGCCTACAAAAATCTACACCTCTTGACTCCCTCTATCGTCTTTTAGTGTCATGATTCTTCCAGGCAAGTTCTTGATGAAGTACAGCAAATGAAGTTATGTAAGTACTTCTCTAAATATAACGTACAGAATGGATTACTTTACAGCCATAACCTTCCTCAATGTTGTTATATTCACAGTTTATTTCTGTAACTAGAGACTGGATGTAATGAGTCACCTGCCAGTAGAATACAGTCTTGAAGGACCCTTTGTTAGCAAATGGTCAGACTGTTGTCAATTCAGCATCAGGCAGTGACCTCATCTATTGTGAACCAGCACCCACGTAACACTCCCCATCATGGGAAGGCAGATCTAAGCAGCTTGCTTAAATCACTTTTTTCCCTCTTGTGCTGAGCCAGCCCAAGGCAGAGACTGGATACATCTAGACCTGTCTTACCCTTCATCAGATCTTCTTTTGCTAGATGGGCCCCCCAAGCCCCCAGGAACCAGGCAGACAGCCTTTTCAAATGCCTGTACTCAGAGTATCCCAGAACTCAGAGTAGCCAAGGAACTTGACTCCATTGGTTGGCTTCATAGGGTAAATGCTGAAACACACAAACCTTTGCTTAACAAAGAGCAAAACCCAACCCATGTTTCCCAAGGAGAACAAGTTGTCTTTAATAATACCAAAATTCAGAAGGCAGTTACAGGAAATCTCAGTTTTCCTTAAAAGCTAGCTGACCCTATGAAAGGTTATGTAAGAAAAAGTTGGTTAAAAAATTAGGAGTAACTGGAGGCTGAAATTTAAAACCTACTGAATCTTAATGGAGATCTTACTGAAAATAAAAAGACTGTGCATGCCTGGAAGGTGTTCAAATTACTGGTATGTATGAATTCTAATACACTCCCTTCCAGTTACGGTAGCAAATGTTAAGGTTTTACACACTGCCCCTTCTGTAGTTCCAGAACTACTCCTAGGGAACAGAAACAAATCAAACAACAGTTGACTTGATGTTTCTAGAACCTCTTTCTTTCTGGTATAAAAGTTTTCTTCATTCAGCTTTTTTTCCCTACCTCTTTTCTTCTGCTGTGAGAAGGAAACCTCAGGGCTGAGTACTTTTTCATTCGATGGAAGGGCCTTCCAGAAAGGAAGTTTCCCCATGGTGGCCTGCCTGCACATTTACTTACCTCTTGCTCAGACCGCATTCCAAATGTGAATGCTTCCTCTCCAGCACTCCTATGCTTCTTCAATTTGTGATTAGACTAAGAGCAGGGTTGTGCCGCTTCTACAGGACAGAAGTAGTGTCTTGTCTAGTTTTCTCAAAAGAACATTCTTTTTGACTAGTATCATTGTGGCCTTTTTTTGATTCCACTCGAGTCAGCTTGCATGCCTTCTAATGCTTTAGTGATCTCAGCAGTTACACAAAAATGCTGAGCTTCACAAAAATGCAGCAAAGTCCCTGGTGTTTCACTGTCTCCTGTATATGTGGAATTTAACTGTGCATGCAGGGTTCCCAGAGCAATCCCGCTGGTGATGGCATTTGAAGCTAGTGCTAAGAAAGAACTCTGTTACTTTAGTTTGATGCTTGGTACAGTTGCTATAGACATCTATTTTTGTTAGTTTTAACAGACAACCTTTGAGAATGTCAGTCTCTAAAAGCTTAAATGATACTTTTAAACTCGGAGAAGTTAAAATACACCAAAGTACACCAGTTTAAGGAAACTTCAGTTTCCATCAGTCATTAATACTCTGTTGACAGTGTTAAATACAACACCAAGAAACCTGCATACACAGATTTTGCCTGCCCCAGCCATTTATTAGATGGTCCCTATGAAATGAGAAGCAATGTTGATGTCATACCTGATTAATGCACATTATTGGAGTCCTGAATCTTGTGCTTAAATTGTGAAGCTGTGCTCCAAACATCTGCAAATACCGAGCCTTCCTAACAGAATCTGAAACTCCAAATTCGCATCGAAACAAAGCAGCAATAGAGTCTATGACCACCAGCCTCACCATGCCTCTCGTGAGCAGTAGGGAAATCCTTTTGGTAATGCAGTTGTGAAAGGTATCCTGCCACAAAATACAAACAGCCAGCATTGAAATGGTTCAAATAATTCTATTTGTAAAGTCAAGATAGTAACTACAGATGCCATCTTTGAAACACGAGCTGATGGAGTTTCTAATCATAAAGTGATTTTGTGGATATGTAAGTCTCACTAGTAACCATTTTTCACAAATGTCTTCGGGTTTTACCCTAAGGAAAAAAAAATAAAAAGACCAAACTGCAATGTACAGTTATCTACAGCTCTGACTTAAATGAATTATTTACCGAGGTTTCAAAATCTCAAGAATGCAATACTACAATCGCAAACCATTTGTGTTTTGCAGGAGTGGTTCTCACTGAACCACTGAGGATTCGAGACCAGCATTAAATACTCAAAACAGGTAAGTTAGAGACTCTGCTGCTGTGCCACTAATGACATATTAACAGTAAAATACATAGCTGCTAGATCAAATTCATATTGATCAAGAGTCTTACAAACATAAGTAGCTGCAACTTGTATCCTCCCTATTAAAAAGTTTTACTAACTGAACATTTGATGTCACCAAACATTTCAGTTGCAGGAAGTTTAACTAACAAATATTTTCTAGGGTGCAACTTCTATCACATAAGAATAATCGTAGTAGTCAGATGAAAGGTCCTTGTAAAGATAACAAATCTTGTCTTTACCAGTGTGGTCTATAGCAGCTGAGCAGAAAGGAGGACAAGCTCATGGCAATAATCTCAGCTTCTGGCCACCAGAAATTTTAATGTTGGCAAAAAAAGCAATAATGTGAGTCACAGTTCTTCTGAGTGGGGCCACTCTTTACATCTAAATAGAGGCTCACAGCTTAGAGCTTATATGCATCCAAAATTACATATAATATCCTCTAGCATATCACAGCTTTTAAAACCTAATTGCAATTCTCAAGTCTGAATTACAGTAAGACCTATTCTACTAAATGAGCTGCTTTTTACAAAATAAGTAGTATAATATCAAGGGGTTTTTTTTGGGGGGGGGGAAGCGTGGGGTTTTTTTGTTTTTTTTTTTTTTTAAACTGAGAGGGAAGACTTACTCTGAAGAACATATGACTGCTTTCCATTCTGGAAAATTGATTTTATTTTTTTTTTTTTGTTTCACTTACTGGTATATCTACAGGAAACTATGTTACACTTCAAACATTTCAGTGTTTGTATGTGGTCCTTCTGTTTGTACAAGTCTCATTCTTTTCAAGTGAATACATGAAAAACTCGATTCTTCAGAATGAAGCAAGTAAAAAAAATTTTTGATGTTAAAATACAGAACATAGTTGTGATTTGGGTTTCTACTGCAGTTGCTATAATCTGCCTATCTCTATATAGCAATGCATTCTATGTATATGGATACACATACACACAAACTGAATCTATATGTATATATATATGAATTGTAATAATCTGTTGTGCAGTTCCTGGACTTACCAGTGAGTGTAGTGTTTTACTTTTAAGGGTATTTTAGAGAGATGCTATAGGGTGATTCTCTCCTTTTTTACAATAACATACTCTATAGCTTCCAGAAACTACAATTAGAACTTTAATTAATATTTCCAATGAACAGGACATGGAAAAGGTAGCTTAGCTGCTGCCTGGACCACACAGTGAGTAAGTGGCAAGCATACTAACATACAAGATCTTCTTATACTTGCAAACTACTATTAAGAAACACCAACAACTGGAGTGATTTAACAAGTGCTACTTTCAAGTCTCAGGGAAAACAGACCTTCTGACTCTAACAATAAAGAGCATATTCACGCGTACGTAAGAAAAAGCACAAAAACATGGGGTTACAAGGCAAGAAGTTTGTATCTTTTCCCCTCCCGTTCTACTATGACGCCTTACAGGCAGAGGGACAAGACAGTTGCGTTGCTGTGGTTATGGTGTGCCATCACCGATTCCAGGCATCATCTTTTGTATCCTTTCCTCCTATCTGCTTAAATTACAGTTTAACAACTCTGGTGTTATATTGCAAGTTAGTCAGGATACACACCACCTTTTGCAAGTACATTTATATCCTGTCTCCAAACTCAATGAAGATCTCCCTAGAAGCTGCAGTAAAACCAGCAGCAATAAGTCTTCTACACTTTTATAAACATAATGACTTACAAAAATCCACTACATGATTTATTCTTTAAAAAAAAATTTAATATTTATCTTTTAATATCTTTCATAATACAACACTGTAATAATTCTCTAACAGCAAATTGGAGAGATTAGGAAGTATTCATTACAGATCTTAGTTCACTTTTAGCCTTTTGAAAGGTCTCCTATATCAAAAAACCCACTGTGGTTACTGGATTACAGTGTAATAATTACGCGTTCTTAATTTGTGCTACTACTTACTAGGTCTGCTGCATGCTCCACAAAAATACTGTTTCCAAACTTGATCTTCTGTATGATATCAGCCGGAACATCTGCACGCAGTTTACATTGTTGATCTATGAGCTGTTGCAGACGCTTACTTGGGAATACATCTTCTGTACAAATGTAGACAGCTCCTATATTCGAGGAAAACACTTCTATTATTACAACAGGGCTCTTATACACAGTTTTCTTAACAGCACAAAAATAATACATTCTGCACTCAAAAGCTAGACATACGTACCTGGAAATTCATGTTACTTTTTTTGCAGCCATATTGAATCAATGATGATGAACAACAAAAACCCCTTTGCTGTAGTTGCCAGATCCTTTTTTTGGTGCCTGCTGACACAGTTGTATTTTTGTACTCTCCACTAGGTGACACTCATTTCGCACAACTGCAGAACACCTGACCACCTAACTTGGGTGACTACGAGTATTGTAATTTATCCAACCCACAAATAGAGCAATACCGTATAGTTTGCCTATTCTGGTCACAACCACAAAGCACAGCACAATTTTATATGAAGAAAATTAACTATCCAGCCCAAACCAGTACAACTAGTATTTTGATTAATTTCACTCAGTGTTTTCAATTTCTTTTTTTTAAGTTTACATATGGAGGGGTACTTATTGCCACAATTTGTACACCAGTTTAAAGAGGATCACTCATCCAATCTCAGTCCAATTAACCCTTCCTGAAAAGGGTAGATTAGATAAAAAGCATTATACTTTAATCACATTACTGTGAGTGATGTCTATATATTTTTACTGCGGTTTCTAGTTAACAAGTATGCATTATTGCAGAGAAAGTTAGACATACACATCAAAGATGTCGGGGAAAGAAAACAGAAATACATGCAATATTTTCTTTATAAAAAACTGTTACTGTTATTGCAGAGCTAGCAAGAATTATCAGCTAACACTTACAGGGTTACATCTAAGGATTAAGTCCACTCACTAAAATGGTTGAAGCTGCTAACACAGCTTGGCAACTGATGTGCTTGGCAACATGAGACATCCTGAACATTTATACCCCAATGGTCCATCCCTATGCTGGCTCTCCAGGGAGCAGAAAGTCCCATTTCCAGATGCAACTTCCAAATCCTCTATATATTCCACTGAAAAAAAAATATGAAACTCCATCTAATAGTAGAAACTGGAAGATGTCAGGACTGGATCAATTAAAAATTAATGGTTATTTTATCAATAAAAATATTTTGCTGATGGACGCCTGTATAGCACAGGCTATTGAATTCTCTATATAAGACAAAGATGAGCCTAAGCCTCATTTTCTCCAGGACTAAACTTGCATCTTTTGCTCAACTCTCCCCAGCCCCACCGTAAATTCTTACATAAACCACCCTACTTCACATGTGAAACATTAAAAAAAACCCCAACAAAAAACATTTTTCAAATACACAGTCTTATTTTTAAATACTCAAAGCTATCAGGTAAAGCAAAAATATTTATCCATGCCCCCTGATTAAAAAAAAATTGTCTTTGACAGGTGAGAATTAAAGACCTTCCTCAATTATTAACACACAGAAAATATTTCATCATCTATGCTTTCCAAAGGAGGTACTGAAATTCCACAATTTCTATTTCCATTCTACCTAATAGCAGGTTCAAATTATACTTCAGCTCCTTTTTACTTTCCTTGGCCCTACCAGGCAATAGCATTCATCACTAGAATATTTCCCAAATTACATTACATATATATATATACACCATGTCAGAGGGAACTGAGGGTTCTTAGCAGTTTGCAACACTTGACAGTGAATGAGGACTACAATAAAGCATTAGTGATCAGAGCAGTCATGATCTGATCACAATTCCTGAACTATAACACATAAAAAACCCTAAGAAGTTGAACGATGAACATTTTCTGTACGTTTCCCACTTTTTTCCTATCATTCGAGTGGATGGAATTCTGAATTTTAAACAGTGGGCATAAATGCTGTCTTTGGTAAATACACCAACTGAAGTCATATGCTGTATCTGTCGACACAAATGAGCACATATACAAATAAAAATAAAAAAAGTAAAGAAAGAGAAAAATGAATCCACAATTACTTGAATCCATAGACTGCAATAACATCAGCAGCTAGTTGAATACTACCTGAAGTTGAATGATGAAGCTCAGGCAAGGAAAACACAGTAAACTATTAATTATATCACTTAACTGCTTAAGGCTTTTTAAATAGCTAATTATTAAAACAGTTAACTAGGTGAACCTTAACTTTCTTGAGCATTTCCCTAAGTTAATTTCTCATAATTGGACTAATTTTCATATCACTCTCCAACTTGACAGTGACAGCTGGGTGAGTATCAAATAGCCAGCTATCTTTACTAAGGGCAGTTCATGCATTCCTAATCAGATTTTCAGTTTCACAATTTCTAAAAAGCCAGTAATTTAGGAGAAATTTCTAATCACAAATTTGACATTATGTACATCTAGCACCAACACTCACTCAGGTAAGTCAATTATGTCTTGCAACATTCACACCACAAATGTGAAAACCATTATGGTGCAAATTCAAACCCAAGTAAACAAACAAAGAAATAAAAGAAAGCCCACCATGATACGCAGCTGCCTTAAGCCCATATGGGTTCTGAATTTCATACTAACAAAAGCTATGCTAACTTGTGTTAGCATAGCAGTGTGACAGTTCCTAACGTAAAACATTCTGGACTTCTCAACCTCCATTCTTATTCACCACTGACTGCCTTTTACGCAACACTGCCTACTTGTGAAAGGCAGGGATTTCTTTACTGCCAATACTGGCTTACAGAGAAATCATCTGCTTTCTAAAAATCGGACCTGCCTTAAGCATTACATCCCTTGTCCTCTCCTTGGTTTACTTAAAAAGGATGGAATGTCCGTTACTTGAGACTTCATGGTGGTTGTTTTCCCAATGCAGATTTGCATTTCTAGATAGATCAGTGCTCCATTGATTAGATAACTATATTTTGATCCAGAGTTATTGCAACATTCAAGACATTTCAAAACAGAAAACCTGAGAAACTTGCTGGAAAAATACATTTTTTCCAAAATTAACTTATCTGGAGAAAAAGAAATGTAAAAGAAATGTAAAATTCTCCTCTTTGCCAATAATTTCAGTACAGTGATAGGAACAAACATAAAGCAAAAGCAGAAGAATATAGAACAACCACGTAATCTTACTGCATTACAAACATATATACACAGTTGTGGCCCAGTTTCACATTTATACCTGATGAACAAGTAAATCAAGGCAAACAAGGTAATCCTACAGCTGTAATAGGCAAAAAAGAACAGCTGGAGAAGCAAAAATCTGGTCCTCTCTGCTCCACTGGTCCAGCAACCTAGATTTGAAATTCCTGATCAATAGATACACACTCTCCTCTTTGTAAAATCATGACAGTGATTTTAAAGTTCAAGTGAACACATTCATTCAGGCTAGGTTTTTTTAGTGAAACAGTTCTACTTCATAGAACTTTCCTGCCTCAGTTTAGCTTTGTAAATACCAGCATTCAGACACACCTGCCAGTCTTCTACTCTGCTGTAATGCTTCTATGATACCAGTTAAATCTACTACAGCAGATACTGTCCTCCAGGTACATAACTGGTCCATTTGTGATTTCTACAAAATATACAGTGGGGCAACCTTATTTTTTTTAAGAGCTGCTCATTTCACAAAACAATATGTAATTTCCATCTTGAACTTTAAGAGAGCTAAGCCACATAAAATATATCAGACGAGCTTTGCCTTGGCTTAATATTTGAGTTTCACGGTACAAAGAGAGTGGCACTTTCTCCTACTGGGCCTTCATTAAGCCTTTTCAGCTTTTGTTTGTGTTCTTCAGTTTGAACCACAATGAAACATTTGATTAAGGAGAATACACATCTGTGCATTAAAAATACATGAAGTGCTTCATAGCAAAGTTACAAGGGCTAGAAGAGACTGACAAATAACTAAACTCAGTATTAAAGACTGATGCCTAATTATGAGGCAAAAGCACTTAATATTCACATATCTTTAAAGATAAGTGAATTGTCATAACCTAAACAAAAAGAGGAGGTGAGTACAACACAAACAAAAGGCTACGGCATTGTGCTGTTTACAGTTTATTAGGAAGCTGTCAACACTAACAGCAAGTCAAGAGTCAGGCTTTTGAGAAAGAAGCTGAGACACTCTTAAGAAGTCAGTCATCCCCAGCGATCTTATAAGCTTCTTTCCTCACAGGTCCACAAAAACCAAACAGAAAACAGCTATTTCATTAAATCCCAGTGCTTTACTGTTATTTAGACTGATAAAAGTGCTATGATGGTTGTTAACCAAAAAACACTCCAAAATCAAGCAAACAAACCACTAGAAGACTCCACTCTCAAAGAAGGACAAATTTTGAGTCCTATGAACATAATCTGTCACACACCAAACCAGCTTGTTAACAAGAATCGGTAGCAAATATTTTTCCAATTCTTAATTCTAATATGTCACATTACATTCATGTATTACTTATGAATATGGGCACATAAAATACATTTGGCCAACATGCGATTGACCATAACTGACATTCCTAGAATGGCAGAAAGATAACCTTGAGGCAAAGGATGTCCCAATTTCTTCATTTGCTGCCAACCTCCTAGCACTGAGAATCGTAAACAAGATTAGCACTAAGTCAAATGAAGTAAATACACAATAAATCTACACTGTCTGAAGAAATGTATTTCAATACCACCACCTAAGAGAAAGGAAGTTTCTACCACTAAAAAAAAAAATACAAAACCAAAAAACACAAACCCACAAGCCTCCATAATTTTAGATCATTAGGGAAGTTCTAGCACTGAGATTAGTCTTCTGTTGGTAGTGCTAGACTTCTGTGAAAGTTACTAAATGTTCTCCTCAAGTTCCCTAAAGAATAAAACTCCTCATACTCAACATAAGCTTTTAATTCCTGTATTTCTCATAAGAGGCTCAACACAACCCTTATTTATAGACTGCAGAGAAATCAAATTTCATTTTCCAAGTGCTATGCAAACAATATCTGCTGCGATGACTGTATGCAGTCCAACAGATGGTAAGATACCACACAGAGTAAAGAACTGCAAGAATTAGGACTGCACCACTCCCTTAGCTCTCCAATTTCTACAGCAGGATATTTCTGCCTTCTATACCTTCGAGATCTTCAAGAGTTCTGTCCTCTCAGCCCTTCCAAAACGCCCTGTTTCTCTCACAGGAGCACTGGTATGATGGCCATTCTATCCCATCTTCCATGAAACACTCAGGGGTGGGTAGATGGGGAACACAGACATGACAAAGCAATCATAACGGCACCAAGCGCTAGGAGCGTATGAAACAAGAACAGTCTTCAAACACAAATAATGTAAAAACTTGCCATTTTGCAGCCCTACAAGGAAGACTGTAGTCTGGCACAAAAGCCAAGAGTGCTATCAGGATGTCGGGCACCTTGTTCTGTACTCTGTTCTGGTTTGTTCCTTTCTTTCAACATATGTCAACGCAGGGATATGTGCTGGGGCACGAGTAAAAATGTATTTGCATTCAAACCATTTGCAGCAGTTAGTGGCACACGGGAATTGAAAAAAAAAATATTTGCTTCTGCTCTGATTAATGACATAACTTAAAGGAAAGTAATGTAAGCCACAGGTTAATTAGTATCCTTTAAGCAAGATCTTCATTTGGACATTCCATGATTTTTCCACATGGGTAGATATAGTACAGGAAATAATTAAGTTTCCCCCCAACAAACCACTGAGCTGCCAAATTAAACCCAGCGCTGCATGGAAGGAAGAGCAAGATCACAGCCAAAACACACCCAGGGCAGACTACCAGGACGCTGACCTTTCAGAAGTAACACAAGTTTCCTCCCTTTCTAAGGGAGGATGCAATACTAAAACCCAAAAGTATTAGGAGTTAGATTGATATGCTAGATGCTTAAAAAACCATACTCTAATCAAAGAATAAACCTACTTACTTTGGTAAAACCAAGAAAATTGCAGGTACAAAACAATATTAACTTTCTTCAATTAGATTTCCATTAATTTTACTCTGTAAATCACTTTATTGTTATAAAACTAAATATTCTTTGAAATTTGAGACCTCCAACTAGGGAATATACACAACATACCCAACGTTTGCAGAAAATTATCTGACAAGCTGTTTTGCTGTGGTTGTTATCTGAGCAGTCTTTAAATACTTATGACACCAACACTTTTCATGTATTGTTCGTATGCATCTAGTTTAACCCACGGTGGCAGGCAGGTAAACAACAGCCAATAGTAATTTTGCGTTAAATTAGGTTGTGATGCAGGGCCTGTGCACAGCATGCTTTTCTCTCTATAAAGATGCATTATTAACTAACTAGCTGACTACTAATGCTATTGCAGAAGGGTAAGACATGCACTGAATATGTGCATCTACTTCAATGCACTGGTGATGCTCTTAAAGACAGTATATTCCTCCAAATGGCAAATTCAATATTTACATTTCAGTACTTACCAGACTCTAATCCACCATATCTGTAAGGATACTGCACACAAAGGCACAGTTGTAAACTAATCTGAGTCTTCCCAGCGGAACTTTCCCCAGCAAGTTCTGTGATTCCCACTAAAGGAATGCCACCTTTTAACAAGTTATCTAGTACTGAACATCCTAGGCTTAGCTTCTGGCGTTGGGAGGTGAGATGATCTTTATCTTGGTAGAGCTGAAGTGCTGCAGCGTTTTGGATTTTTTTTTAATGATTAAAAAGGGAAAAAAAAGAAGAAGAAAAAAGAGGAGTTTCAGTTAGTATCTTTCTAACACAAAATGATGTAAGACAGAGGCTGCATACCAGGTTTATATCTACAAGGGATGCTTTCTTTGTTGATGGGAGATTTTTCTAATTCAGCCTGGTCTTCCTCACCCCCCTTTCCCCACAAGGCCTACTAACTGAATGTCTGTTCAAAAATTGATAGTTTACACTGAGCCCTTTCTTCCTCTTGAACTTTTTTCCTTTCTCTGCATATAAGGAGTCTCCATGGAAAACTACACTCTGGAATATATTGCCAGCAAGGCTCAAGCACAGCAATTATGGAAAAGAAAAGCTATAGCAGACTAGGAAACAGCATAGCAGGCATCTGGCCAAGATGCCAGATATCTATATCTATATAGATATATAGATATAGATATATAGATATATATTTGCATATATATGCAAATCACAAGAAAATAGGTTTTAAGTACAGAGCTGCCACAAAGCATTTGCACAGGAGGAGCTATTAGGTCTTGCCTGATTTGGAATGAGGTGTTTATATCATATCAGTTTATATAGTTTTTAATATATAAGTTTTTCAACTAGTCCTAGTCCAAAAGGAAAATAGTAAGAGGGAAAGACAGAAAAAGGAAGTATTTTGTTCCCCTAATCAAGTTTTCCAGACTGGAGAATCATTTAGTCCTGTTTGAAGCAGGCTTGATCCTGAAGAATGAAGCCCATTTACTTCCACCTACCTTCGAGGTCTCAGAGGAGCTGTCCTTAGGATAGTTAAATAGTCCACTACAGTAAAACTAAAGCACTTGCCTTTTCATTTTCAGAATCCCATTACTGTGTCAGTGAGGAGCCAAAACCACATTTTCTCCCAGTGACAGTATTTTAAGATTTAAATAGAACATTTTTTTTTTGTATTGACTATATTACCTGTAAGCATACTGTTTCTCCTCAGCGCATGAGAGACTGTTTTCAGTAAGCACTGTATATCTGCACTGGACAGTTTCATCAATCTTTGCAAGTCTGATCCAGAAAGATTTAAAATCTCTTTTATTGATTTTATGTCAGCTGAAATTAGAAGAGTATTTATAAATACTTGGGCTGGATTACAGTCTTAGGCATAAGAGAAAATTTTTTCCCACTTTCTGCTACTCATTTACTTGAGGTTTACCTACACTGCATTCTTGTAAGCAGGGTAGGCAACATTTACTTCAAATGTACCAAGACATGCTGTAAAATTGTTTGGAAATTTATTACTGGAGTATGGGGAAAGTCATCACTTCCAATTACTCAAAAACTTGCTTATGAAATACTTAATCACAGTTCTAAAACATTACTGTACATCTATATGCTTACACCCACAAATACACCGTTATGTAAAGAAGACACTATGGTGGCAGATCCATTAGTGAGAGAGTGGCAAATTAAGTTACCTTTCTTAAGGGCAGCAATTACTTTAGGGTTCAAGTCAAACTGGTCCCAGTCCATTTCCTGATACAGCACTGGGGTGAACCATCTGTTATTAAAGTGCCTTTTATCAGATATACATGCAACAAAAAAATAAGCATCATTCAACATGAAACATTTGTAGGAACATTTTTTTTAACAATATATTTATCAGTTATCTTAGAAAAATAGCAGTGATTCAGCACATTGGCAGAAGTCTTCTCAACAGGTGTTTACATATATGCTGCTAAAGGGTTCAATGAATAACACTGCAGTTAATTACTAGTAATTTTGATTTCTTGTGATTCTGCATAGTGCTTTTGCTCTGGATTGAAGCTTGCAATGTTGGATAGCTGCTTCTATCCTGCCACTCCTTACACAAGCTTTTCATTTTCAAATAGAAAAAAGATCTCATGTACATGCAACATGGAATGATCCAGGGCTATGCAATGTGGAATGATCCAGGACTATTCATACACTGGATAGTCAAATATCTTTTGATGAACTAAAAGCAAATTTAGCATTTAAACATTTAAATCAGTTTGTTTCTTATAACAACATTAAGCACTCTTTTTAAGATTTTGATCTAAACCAGAATAGTTTAGCACTACAGCTGCCCGGAAGAGCACTGTGGGGTTTGTCACCATTATTCAGATCATCTTTACGAAGGACTGCAGCAGACAGAAGAATATATGACATAATACATTATACAAGAGTATGTGGCATAATGTACAACCCCCTTTTTAACATGGGGGAGGAGAGGTTGCCACGGATCCTGCTAACAGTTATCTTCAAGCAACACCCTGACGAGAGTTACAAGTCAAAACTTACCGAAGCTAATCATGATGACGACCTTTGACTGGAAGGACTCCAAACCATTTCGCACGCTCCGCGTACATGAAGCCCCTCCACCGCAGCCACTGCTGGAGGCACTGGGAAGAGAAGGGGGGGGTGTCACCGGGAGGAAATTACTGGAAAGCCAGGCGTGTCCCACCAACGGGGGCACCGACAGAGGCCGCCCGGGCCTACCACAGCCCACCCTGGCACAGAGAAAGCTGAGCGGTAACACCCCCCCGCGGCCCGTTCCTCAGAGGGGAGGGCGGTG